TATTGATGGCCTCTTCAGGAATACTTTATTATAAAAGTACACAAAATTATTAATACATGAAGATTATTAAAATATCAAACAAAAGATTAACAATAGTTGCACTCAAAATTTCAAAATACTTTCTAAACATTGTCAAATAAATTTTCTTTCAGTGAACTGAAACTGTCAACTGTGGAAATTATAGTCAATTACGAGTATGTGTATCACGATATATGATTTAGAAAGGGCTGAAATATAAATACTTCTGCCGTCAAAATTTCAAATTAATCTTATTATGAACAAACTAACATTTGCTGGTTGTGAAACATTAAACTATATAGTTAACAAATTTTTCACAGTTAAATTTCACAGGTTTAGACTATTTAAAATTGTATTAATTCTCCAATACTACTTACTAAGAAAATTTGTATCTTCTTTCTACTTATTGTGCCACTGTGACTATTTACGTATAACATTTCTGGTTTTATTCTTATTTTATAATTACTTTTACTTTAATTTCTCTGTCTAGGATTATTGTATTATTCCAATCAAAACTGTGATTCAGATTCTTAGAATTATGTGATGAAACTGGTAAAATGTTGTTTTCTATTAATTTTTTATTTTCATTTATTCTAGTTTTTAAACTGCGTTTTGTTTCACCTATGTATATAGCAAATGTACAATGTATATTACAAATGTAGTAATAATTTAAAAAAATTTAATATTACAAGCTCTTTGTAATTGTTTCCTTTTTTATTTCTTAAGACACCATTTATGACTTTTTGAAATGCAAACCAGGCATTTTTTTCTTTGACAGACATAGTTTTCTTGAAATCGTCATCTTTACATAGCACTTTAATTTGAGGTCCAATAAAAAATTTTTTTTTTATCATTTTATTTTTATTTTATTTTTATGTCACTGAGTTTTGGAAATTTTTTATGTAAAAACTGAAAACGTGTACTTGATTGATCGAGCGCTTTTACGAACTGCTTCATTAAACCTAATTTTATATGCAGTGGAGGTAAGAGAATTTTTGTTGGATCAATTAACGCTTCGTGAAGGATGTTCATGAATCCGGGTATCAAACTCTTCCTACTAGGTCAGTTTTTTTTACCCAGCGTTCCTTATCAGCTCTACTATCTCACTCGCAGATGAAACATGGGTATTTGGTGTATCCACTTTGTTGGCCTAGAAGAATGGATATGACTTTAAAATTACCGCATATCTTCCATTTATGTTTTTTGTAATCTATTTTCTCAAGAAGCAGTTTCATGTTTTCATATTTCTCATCTAAAACTATAGAATATCCAATAGGAACGGACACATACATATTTCCACTATGAAGGAGAGCTGCCTTCAAACTACAGGTAAAGGAATCTATAAAACGTCTCCACACGCCTGGATTATAAGTTTTAAGATCTGCAGCAGCCATTATACCTGAAAAATCGTTGCAAAAAGTTAATGATTCCGTCTCCGTAAAATATTTTAGAAATTCTTCCTCACGATTTTTGTATCAAGCAAAAGTAATTCCGGGAGAAAGCGCACATTTTTCTTGCAATCTTGAAACCAAGAGCATTGACTTCTTTCGAACTCCTTTAATCTCGATTTAAGTAATTCAACTCAGCTTGATTAAACGTACAAGGTTTACCAAACGATGCGCGCAGTTCGTTGCTACTATAAACAACTTCAAATTCAATTTTATCTTTGTATCTTTTTGTCTTTCGTCTTCTTCTTCTTCTTTTTCGTCTTCATCATCTTCTTCTGCTTCCACTTTCATTTTTGGAACAGGAATAAGACTTTTAGGCGTATGAGGAGTAAATCTTGTAACAAATTGGATATTTGCATATTTAATAGTGTGTTTATTTTTACTATTGAAGGTACTGATTTGTTTACCAGTGCGTTATAAATAAAAATAGCAATCATCAACGTAATTATTTGGTTCTCGCCATACCGTGGGAGTGCCTAAAAGCATATACTTTTTTTTCTATTTTATTCCATTATTAAACATTTTATTCCATTTCCATATTAAACCTACTCTGCACGTATCACAAATCATGTTAAGAACCTAAGTTTTATTTAAATTGGTCAATTCATTATTAAAATATTCTTTGTACAATAATTTGATAGACGTTGTTATGAATTTACGTTGTGTAGTTGGGACGAAATCACCACAGACATAACAAAACTTCTGCGGGTCATTTACACACTATTATGAAGACATTTTTTATGAAAATTTAAGTTTTTGTCTTAAAAAAATATCTAAAAAGCTCTTTAACACGAAGTGCTAAGAAAATGTCTTGATGACGTAAATATTATGAGGGGGGGGAGTCAATAAGTCTTTACAAAATCCAAGAGATGGTGCTCGTCACGCTTAAATTATGATGTTTTTGGCAAGCAATACTACTAACTAGTATCGTACAAAGTTTCAGCTCGATTCATTAAGTCGCTTTTTTGTGAGCCTTGGTTGAACAATAATTGGTTTATTTGAAAAATGGAAAAAACAGAATTTCGAGCGATGATAAAACATTTTCATTTGAAAGGCCTTACACCAAAAGAAATCACAGTTGAGTTGAACGCCGTTCATGGCAAGTCTGCCCCTGTGTTTAAGACTGTTTATAACTGGGCAACTGAATTTAAACGCGGCCGTACAACAACAAAAGATGAACCTCATTCAGGACGGCCCATAGAAGTTAGTACGCCCGAAATGGTCAACAAAATTTACGATATGATGCTGAGTGATAGAAGATTAAAATTGCGTGAATTAGTTGAGGCCACAGGGATCTCAAAGGGTACAATCATTTCAATTTTGCATGAAAAATTGAGCATGAAAAAAATATCAGTAAGATGGGTGCCGCGTTTGCTCACTGTTGAAAACAAAACGAACCCGCGTGGTCATCTCTGAGGCTCTTTTGGCACGCATACGTCGTAATCCGAAAGATTTTTGGCGTCGACTCGTAATTGTAGACGAAACATGGGTATACCACTACACTCTTGAAACGAAAGAATAGTCCAAACAATGGATTACCGCAGGAGAACCAGCCCCAAAGAAGGTAAAGACAGCTAGCAAGATTATGTCCACGGTTTTCTGGGATGCGTATGGAATCATCTACATCGACTATTTGGAAAAGGGCCAGACGATCACTGGACAATATTATGCGTCATTATTAGGTTAGCTGAAAGAATAAATCAAAAGAGTACAATGCATGGTTTCGGATGCCCAGTATCAGCTGTTGATCTAGGTAAGCAAGCGGGCCCACTTTTGTCATCATCAAGAGACTATAGCTTTGTATTGGCTGGTGACTTAGCTAGTAATAAGTATAAAGCTATATAAACTGAAGATGCTGTATGTCACGTTTACAGCGCTGATAACAATTTTTTTTGTTATATTTGCAGTAAGTATGAAGTCAATATCATAATTCAATTAATAGCAAACGTACAAATATATATAGATAATATTATGAAAAAGAACTTTCTACTCAAAATGATACTTTTACTTCAGAGAATATTTCATGTTCTTGTTTCATTACGCTCATCCGATGGATTGATACGCAACAGTATCTTCCGTTGTACCAGCAACGTAGAGTATGAGAAGTAGAGCGTGTTAACGAAAAAATAGATGCAAGTCAATAGATAAATAAAGTTTCATCGATTACAGAAACTGATAGAGAAGAATTGTTTGACAGTGAACAAAGATCTCTCGAGAGCTTCAATGAAGATGATCATCAAGAAGAATATATTCCGAAATTGAGAAAGGAACGAAATATACCTGTAAATCTATTTAACCAAAAAAGTTTAAGTAATTTTATCAAGTGTACGGAGCTTCCTAAAGATGCTTCTGAATACATGGTTCCTGAGTTGGACAATCGCGAAACGCTTGAATGGGAAACGAAGTCATTCTTTTATATAAATCGAGAAAAAACAATCTGTCAACATTTCAAGAAAAACGAAAAAAGTATTTTAATTGATTGTCTAGATGTTTATGGGTTTATGAACGAAATAAATGAAGATATTTATTTTTTTAAAGAATGGAGATTGTTTATATATGCTTCGAAACGAAATCTAAAGGAAATGCTTCTCAACAATGGAACTAAGTACGCAAGTCTATCGTTAACGTACTCAACATAATTGGAAGAAAGTTATGAAAATGCAATACGTATTAGATCAAATTCGATGTAATGAACATAAGTGGTAAATTTTAATGTACCGTTAAAATGGTAAAATTGTGACTTGTATGAAAGCTTTATAAAGACGGCTAGGTTTCAAAGCGATTATGAGTAAGATACCAGAAGAATAATGGTTGTTTGCATTTGACCTTTTGTAGCTGATGAAGATCTCTTGACCTGTACGTGTTTCTGTCTCTTACGGACGGCTAGCTGCTCGCACATCTGTTCTCGCTCTATCTCTCTCTAATTTATGCTTATATGAATATTCGCTGATTCTACCCTTACTACATAATTTATCTGTTTCTACCTTTGTTTCCTTGTCACAGTCTGCTGTCCCTTTCATTGACACTATACTCAACTATACAAAATTATAATATAGCATGAGACACACTCAATTCTTATATTGCGATAGATCCATTATTTCATAAGTTAATCAATGCTAAACAAGCGTAAATTTTCAAATAATCTTTAGGTACGGATGTCGCGAGGTAAATTTAATATACCTATTCAAAAAATCTAAATGACGCGATTATCCAAAAATACATCGATAAATTTATTTAAGAATACTTTATAAATAATAAGTAACGTTATACATATATTCTTCCAATAGATAATAATAGTAATAACTTGATTAAGTTCACATAGAGAACTCTATGCGAATCATAAAATGATTTGTATTTGTAATTTTATTATTCACTATTATGGATAATTAAAACTGAATTTTATTTTTATATATATAATATTAACATAAGATTTAAAATCTATTTTATAAAAACATCATTTTTTTTTATTTTATTTTATGAATGATATATAACAATCATGTTAAAATAGGTCAACATAATTTTTTCATTTCATAGGATATTTCTAAAGAAGTTGAAAAGAATTTGTCTCCTAAACAATGTGCTGTCTTAGACGTGGCTTTAGATACGATAAAAACTTATTTTCACGCTGGAGGAAGTGGTTTAAAAAAAACGTTTCTCGAAAAGTCCTCAGAATTGCAAAGTCTACGTTACGCTTTAAGCTTATATACTCAAACTACAGATACGCTTATTCAGACATTTATTACTTCACAACTTTCTCAAGGTATGTATTACAAACTATTTATGTTGAATAGATATGACCTTATATTTTATATATATATAATTATATATATGATTTCATTTAAGAAAATTTATTATTTTTTCTTATCATTTACTTTTAAACTTTCAAGTTATATATATATATATATATATATATATAGTTCAAAGCAAACTCTTTATTCTAATCACATTTCGTGGAAGTAAATGAACGAATAAATTAGCATATAGTTAAGAACCATTTTGCACACATAAATAGTAGCGAGAAGTATATACAAATCGACCAAATTAACTAATTGATACCAGTCCAAATGACTTGAATTCTATTGTTAAGTCAGTCATCATTTGATTTCTGAGGAGAGCAGACATATTTTCATCACGTTCTACTTGAAAAGTATTAGCTAATCAAGTGAAGTGACAGATAATTTACTGTTAAAAAATACAATAAAAACTAAATAACGGCCAAAATGATCTTCCATTCAGAGGATATAACGAATTGTCATATGCAAACAACTTTGAAAAATAAAAATTCACTAGTAACAAAAAACAACGGAGTACGCTAGAAAATCAATTACGAAACAACAAACGGCAAACTTAATTACCAGATTACTGGCTAAGCCAATCTACAAAAAAATATGAGGTACTACAGGAAAATCATCAGCAAACCCGAATAAAGTGAACTCGGTTAATATCTCCTCCACACTTTTGGTTTATTGTGCCCCTTCCCCTACTGAGCTGATATGCTCTCTGAGCCGATGCCCGCGTCCTCTGGATCCGCAGCCCGATACTCTACCACTAGAGCCACTGCAACTAATAGTACCCCGGACAGTTCTTATTGTTTATATATTATTAACTCATTTTGATGTGCTCGTATTTAATTAATAATATTTCTATTATAATTTGTGCGCGCGCGCGCGTGTGTGTGTATGTGTTCACGGTAATAAAAGATATATTATTATTAATCATTTATTACTATATATACATAATTATTATAATAAATTTGAAAAATACAAAAATACAAAAGAACAGTTAATATATAAATTTATAAAATGTAAATACAAATATTAAATTACGCTCAGTTGTCGTCGTCGTCATCGTCATCGTCATCGTCGTGGTCGTCGTCGTGGTCGTCGTTATCCGTGGGGAAAAATGTTCCTATTCTGTAGCGCTAGGCGCCGTCGACTGTGTCGTCCATAAGGGATAGTCGCTTTTTTCCCACGATAACGAGATCGTGCAGTATCTCCGATGTGGATGGTCCTGCGGGGGTATTTTCGGAAGTACGTGATCGCGATCGGAATAACTGGCGCACATGTCTGACGGGTCCGATCCGATCGATGTGCCGCCTGCTCTCGCGGTGTGGTGGAGATTTCACACACTACAGCTGTCGACTGCAGTGACCAGCGGTGCAGTACGCGCACTCCCAGCATTCGCATACGGGCATGGTGTCATCGTGATAGTTGACTTGCAACAAAGAAACTTATAATAAACTACCCCGATTAGAAGAAAAAGAAAAAAGAAAAATTCATGCCTGTTCTTGTTGGAAGGACGTCTCTTGTTGCTCTGGTAAAACTAAGTTCACCAAGAACGGTTGAGGCATCGTGAGATCGATCACGGGTGCTGGAGGCGTCACCAGGTTGATGTGTGTCACGCGTCGTGGTGGTGGTGGTGGTGGACGCGAGACAATGACCTGGTAAACCATCTTCACATCATCATCATCATCAAACCTGTAAAAAAATTATTTATGAAAAATTAATTGATATATCTATATATAACAATATATTAAATATTAATATATATGAAACTTACACATTCACCGTCGAAGACGATCGGGATCATGGAGACGTCGGCAGTACTTGAAGTGTCGACCGACGTTTGCTGTAATAGTATTACATATATATTAATAAATTGATTAAATATAAATTGTATAATAGGAACATATCTGTGCTTCATATGAAATTCTTTTTATTATAAAAATAAGAGTGCACGAAGTAACCGTGCACTATGCTGATAATGACGAAAACCGAGGTGCAAAGTAACGTAAAAAGAATGCGATCGAAAACAAAATAATAAATTGTAAGTAGGAGAGACAGAGAGAGAAAGAGAGAGAGAGAGAGAGAGAGAGAGATTAAATTTGAAGTTGAGTATCTATATAAAACTTTATCAATTTATCAATTTATTAATACAATATTATTAGCTATATAAATTTTTAATAATATATAAATTTTTAATAACATATAAATTTTTAATGATATATAAGTTTTTAATAAGAGCACATCTAGTCATTATAGTAAGACGATTCTCTTTTAAATTTAGTTTTACTCTCTTGTACTTACTTATATTGTTCTCTTTCGCATTTTATTTTTGACTGTCTATTTGACACCTCGGTCTCGTCAGTTTACTCACTTGCTTTATCATGTCCTCACATTCTTTATTTCATAAAAGCACAGAATCTTTTTTAATGTAAAGAACATATATGCTCTTATTATTATAAAATTTATGTATAACTAATACCATTATATTAATAAATTAATCAAATTTAAATATAATTGTTTTATTAGTATAATGATATTAATTATATATAAATTTTATAATAATAAGAACTGTAACGCAGTATAATTTCCGTGTGTTAGTACCTTATGTCTCACCTGGTACGCCATTGTTCTGGAATGCGCGCGATGAGAACAAGCGATTTAAATTAATCAAGGAGCGGGGAACGACGGGTAACAGTTAACCAACTAATAATAAAAGGGACGAAGGTAAATTATCGTTTCGGTAGCACAGATTCGTTTATTTTCACTGTTCTTACAATAGATTTGGCCCGCGCGAGAACATTTATTTTAAATGTACGATAAAGTTGTGTGCCACCATTTATTCGACACCGCGAATTCAATTCGCTCGTTCGCTGGTTCGCTACGGGTTTCTTAATATTCGCTGACGTGAGAGAAGAGTTAAGATATTACGCGCGGTTGTTTGATAAAATCATGACGCGAAGCTGGCCAGCTTACCTTGAACAATTGATCGCGTTATCGGGGGGAGCAATTTGTCGTCGCCTTTCGACGTGCGGCTCAGGTTGCCATTTTTCAACACAAAACGAAGCCTCCTCAATCGCCTTACTGCTTCCACCGGGTTGATTCGGCAACTACGTGACCGGCCTACGATGGCGTATTACCTGTGCTAATGCGATAGCAGCAACAACAAATTATTGGCAATCCACGATTTTTGTATCTACCCTCCTTGATTTCTGGATATTACGCTCATACGCACTAACTGTTGTCGATGTCAGAGGTACTCTCTCACTGGTCTTTCTCCTTCCCCTACCACTACCACTACCACTATCACTACCACTACCACTACCACTACCACTACACCGACTGTTGTCAATCCAGCTCAAGACTCAACAGTTCGCTGGAACGACATCAATAGTGCGTTCAAAGGCAGAATAAAATCATACCTACATATATAGTTAGAGAATGGTTACAGAAATGGAGTTAAAGACAGGTGTGATAACCAATCTGAAACATCTGGATTTAAATGCGTTTTTGAGGCATGCTAAACCATTATTCCATGCTCAAATTAAGGAGACCTTGAAGAAACATAGTTCTTTAAAAGTGAATGCCGTACTGGACGCCGTGTATGCAGTCGAAAAAAATAATTGCGATGAAAAGCTCGATGTGAAGCATTTCAATACGAAGATGGCGCCGATATACCTAAATACAGACATAGACGAGTGGTTCATTGAAAACGTTTTAGAACCAATCAGTAAGAGCACAGAAGAATTTCAAGAGCAAGACTCGGGCTGGTCTCTTTGTGTTATATTAAACTTAACCGCAAATATCAACAAGTACAATTCTATGAGGACTGGTTATTCCGTTGAATTGCCCGAGCCTATCAGAAGAAATAAAGCCTGTGTGAATGTGTAGAACAACGACAACAAATGCTTCAAATGGGCCATCCTTTCGGCGTTATATCCAGTCGCAAAGAATGCATGTCGTATTACTGCCTCTACTGCTCATCAAGATAAATATAATTTCAAAAATTTATCATTTCCCGTACACCTGAAAGAAGTCGTGAAATTTTAGAAACAAAACGACGTTTCAGTGAACGTGTACTTTTTAAATTTGAATAATGAGTCCTACAAGGTTTTGCCGCAAAATTTTACTGATGAGAATAAAGAAAAGCACGTGAATCTTCTTGTAATGGAAAATTATTATATCGATGTTAATACCGATGTGAACGAAGAGCAGATGGAACGTTCCAGTATACCTTACAAAGTGCACTATGTTTGGATAAAATACTTATCTCAATTGATGTATCGACAGTTGTTATTTCGCAGAAGTAAGTTGTACATATGGGATCGTTGCTTACACTATTTTCGAACTAAACGGAGGTTGAAAACGCACGAGATCGACTGTAAAAATGTGAATATGTGTAAAATTGTGCTTCCTAGTGAGAAAGATAAACTTTTACAATTTGAAAATTTTAAAAATGAGTGCGCAGTACCGTTTGTTGTGTAAACTGATTTTGAGAGTCTCTTGGAAGCGGTGTCTAACGATGAATGGATCTATCAATGTCACAAACCATACAGTGTTAGTTTTCACGTCAAGTGTAGCTATGATGACTCTCTTTCGTGTTATTAAAGCTACAGACAGAATACCGTCGACGACGTTGGTCCAGCCAAGTGGTTTGTTCACAATCTTCATGATTTGGCCAAATATCTGCACGAGTTGTACAAAAGCCCACAGCCTATGGAAAATTTAACGTTCCAAGAGATATTTAGCTTTCTTTATGTTATGATATGTCATATATATGTAATAAGCCTTTTGACAAGAAAAAAGACACAAAAGTTCGCGATCATTGTCACTTTAATGGAAATTATCATGGAGCTGCTCACAACATGTGTAACATTGCTTATCAAGAATCGAGGACCATACCAGTAGTATAGCAATGTATGTTCCAGCACACCTGCGGGGGATCCGTAACCCTTTGGCCCCCCTGGCTTAATCCTTT